GAGCATCAGAGGGGGAACAGCAAGGCCTTAGTGGACGTTTTAAGTCCAGAAGCCTGTTAAAGATTCTTTGTTTAGAAGCAGTCGTTGTGCTGTCAGACCAGCCATATCGCTGGCCTTGTCGGAGCCTCTGAGATATTCGCCTCTGTACGTCTTCCATAGAAAAGCAGTCTACTCAGATTGCTAGCATGGCTGTTTTCCCTCCCTTCTTTCTGATACCGGCAGCCATTTAGTGCTGTTTCCTGAACTGGCAAGGTTTCTGAGAAACCTAGTAGACACGGCTGCCTGAGTTTAATCTGTTTCTATCCCCAAGGCCTTTCTTTTAACGTCTGAAACAAGAAGATGCACTTTTTCGTAACAGGGTTTTTACTTACACTGTTGTTGTTCCAACTCTGGTAGAGCTGACAAGAACCATCTGAAGTTGATTCATGGAAATGTGGGTTGGCAGGAGAGGGTCTGCATAAAAGAGGCACTCTGAAAGAGTAGTGCTCAAGAGGAAAAGGAAGAAAGAGGGAGCTGGGAGCCATAATGCAAACTGAAAACTGTGTCATAACAGAAGGAACAATTGTTAAAGTTTAACAGAAGAAAGTTGTTTGTGCTACCTGTGGCATTCTTTGCTGCGGGGTCACACAGTTAAGCTGCTCAGAATTTTTTAAAATAAACTGGGTGCCATTCTAGGCACTGACTTCTGTGATTTACTTGTTTATTATCTCCTGTCCCTGTAGAGGAAATAAATATTTAATCTCCCAAGGCTGTACTCTGACTCTCCAGGCTGATTTTGGCCCCAAATCTTACATACACTGTATGTATGTCCAACTAGCAGTGATAAAATCATTACGTGAATTTGTATAAATGAAGTTTTATTTAGGTTTACCAAAAGGAAGACAAACGAAGGAAAAGAAACCATTTGGATAACAAGCTGTTAGGGATACAATACTGAGATAACTCTTCATGCACTCAGAAAATGTATAAATAGCAACTCAGCTGTAGATAGCAGGTTAGGTGGAGATAGGTCAGGCAGAATTAACGTGCACTGTAGAATACAATTGCTGACACCTTTAGGTTTACTTCACTAATGAATATTCTAAAATGTTTGTTTAACAACACAGAAATCTTGGCAGGAAAATCTCTGGGATGGCTGGTGGTGATGGAGGCTGACAGTACAATGTGGTGAGAGGGCAAAGAGAATGGGGCACAGTACTTCTTGGCTCTGCAGAGAGTAATCAGCAACTCTGCGTATGGAATCAGTGTGTCTGAAATTTAGTGTAGTGTTTTTCTGCATATCAACAGAAAGGAGTAAAAGGAAGAAAGTTGTAACACCATCACTAGTTTTTCAAACCCATTTGAAATAATTTAAATAACTGCAACCTAACCAAACTACCCTAACAACCCGCTGCTAAATCATGTCCATGTTCCACTATGTAGTGGAAGAAGTAAGAACAGCAGGATTAGTGTAAAGCAGTAGGAATACATGAGTCCATATTGTACGTGACACTGTATACTTCAGTGTGGTGAGTTCCCAAGTTCCTCAGTGAACACTGCCTTCATGTATGATGCTGCTTCTGCATCTTCACCTTCCTGTTAACTCCAGCATCAATTTAAGACTGTTTAGTTGGCAGACTGAGGCCAGAAATTACCAAATGCATATGTTTGCATTGCAGCATAAAGAGGAACATCAGGTTGATAGCGTGTGAGAAAATATAAAACTTTGTCACCCAAATGATTGTTCAGTTGTGTTTGGAATAAAGTTGGGAGATTAAAGCATTGCTTTCATTGATGTACTTTCTGGTCATCTGTTTGGGAACTAATAGCGTCTCACCTTCTAATGCAGGAATTTCAGTATTACAAGTGTGTCTTAAATTGTTCCTGTTAGGGGTAGAGACAGGTTAAATTAAAAAGTTGAGAATTTGTTTTGTAAACTCTTAGTGCACAAATACCCGGTGTTTACTTCCTAAGGTGCTGAAAAATTTCCATAATTTCTTCCTGTTCTCTTTGTTCCAACATGTCTGGTACCTTCTGCTTTTGATTGATATGTGTGTATCTTCATGGAGTGTGAGCAAGTCCTCAGTTCTTATGAAAAGACAAATACAGGTACTAGGGCTGGGATAGTGAGTAGGCAAAGCTGCTGCTTTATAGTTACTGTGCTGGCTTATCCCGATGTAGGGTATTGGCCTGTATTGAGCTGTAGTCTCTGAAGTTTGGCTGTAATTGGGCTTAGATGAGGCTTCTGCTAAGAAATCGAAGTTTCTTATGCTCTGTGGTCTTGGCTGGACAGGACTTGCATGTAAGTAAAGGCCAGGAGGCACTGAGTGAAAGCTAGGCAAGGAGGCCTAGGGAAGGGAAAAGAGAAGGGCATACCAGGATGCTGAAAGGGAGCCAAGTGTCTTGAGAATGGTCTAAGAATGTTTAGGTAGGGAGATGTGTTTCCCACTTACCTGGAGAAACAAGAGCAAACACCTTCAAGCTATTTTTTGTCACTAATGCAGAAAAAAGTGGTAATACAAGTAGCTCTTGCTAAACATGTAGAACGTCTGGAAGAAAAGTGATGGAGGCATTAGGAACTCCAATTGTTTGGTGGAGTTGCCCTTCTAGGCGAGCATTCTGAAACTTTACCTATGGGCAACTAACTTAAAGTCATTTCCTATGTTTTCTTTCCCCCTACTTAGGGGGAAAAAACGGGAAGCCTGCAGACTTGTGGGCCCTTGAACAACTCATGCAATAGATAGTTCCTCTGCCAGAGCCAGCTGGGTGACAAAGGCTGGCATGTTTAGTAGTCTGTGGGTTGTGTCATCACTTAGTTTAACACAGTGATCTCATCATCTCTGTTCAGCCTCTCCTAGTAGCTGCTCTGTGTGCTTAGTGCTTTTGGCCTGGTATCTGCAGCTCCATGAATTGACTCAGCCTGCTGATGAGTCACCACCAGAGCCCTGCTCCAACAGGGCTGGCACTCGCTGTGCTTCCCTCCCTTGGAACAGCTCACTGCTTGGTTTTGTTTCCCTCTTTATAAGTAAGAGTTGCCTTGAGCTGTGCAGTAGTCAGGTGAGCGTTGTGGCCCTCAGCAGTAAGGGATGGTGCAGTTTGCAGTTAGCTGAGAGGTGCTGCAAAGACTCAGGAGAGGGACTGCTGGAAAGAAAAAGGTAGCCAGTAAATGTACAGATTGTTTAGGAGGGATCAGCTGTGTACTCCCAAAACTGATTTCTGATGTTCAGGATGTTTCTTTGGTGTTCACAAAATGTGGTGTGGGGGGAAGCGCTTCAAGGTGTGAAATGAAGGCAGCTGTACTGACTTATTCAGAGGAAAAGGGGAAGAGAAAATAGAGGAAAAATGCAGAAGCTGCATAACGAGAGCTAGAGATGTCAGTGCAGTATGCAGGGCCAGGTGAATTAAGTGTTCAGATTAGAACAATTAGGAAGTCTTGGGATACAGTTGGAGAAAAAGTCAAACCTCAGCAATGTATTTGTCCAATAACAACAAGCTGTGGAGACAGCTGTGGATTTTAATTCTGTTGTGTAGGAGCAGAGGACTGAGGAGACATTCAGAGTTAACGATTCTGTTCCCTTTCTTTGGCTGGCAGCACTTCTGTTTTGTTATAACATTATCAAGCTCTGTTAGAACTCTTCCATATCTTCCTTTCAAAAAGTAGGGGGATGGAGTTTTATCTTTGGTGAGCAGAACAGCAGTCAGTGGCTGAGAGAGGGATCAAGCAGCAACTATAAAGGGCTCTCTGGTGTTGTAAATGCAACACCAAACACATCAAAGGCAGATTTGAGGTGTAATTTTGTGAGCTGGTGTTGGAATATGAGAGTCTCCAAAAGGTTCGTGGTAAATATTAAGCTGGTGTTAAAAGTTTGAAATAAATGACCCAGTAATTGCTAACCTGGTCCCTGCTCGGGAGGAATACTGAGTTGGAGGACAATTACAAAGCCTGGTGTCGTGATCTGTGTTGAGTAAAAGCTCCGGCTAGGATTACCTCCCTGCTGCTTCCAGCTTTTAGAAACCTGTGAATCAGATCAGAAACAAAAGCTAATGCACGAGGTTGAGCTGTTAAGAGGTAAATGTTACTGTTAGCCTGTGACACTCTTTCTCCCAGGTTGTGTTTCAGGTACTGATAGTGCCTCTAAAAGCTCCGTCCCCAGGGAGCTAAGTGGGAGGTGACATCCCTGCCAATTCCACCTCGCTTGTAAAGGCCTGAGCAAAACCAGAGCACTCAGTGTTGTTGCTGCTCGCTTTGAAGAAGCGGTACTGAGAGTGCTGGGGGTTGGAAGGATCTGAGTGTGTGTGTGGGCCCCACACAGAGGGCGGGAAGGTGGTCCAGCAGGGCGTCCTGCACAGCGCTGATCAAAGCGTTCCTTCTGTGAGTCGCCCGATGATCAGATGGCATTAATTTGTTTGTCAGGTGCCTTTATGAACTTCCCTCCGTGCGCATGCAAATCAGAGGTTTCTCATGTTCAGTTTTGAGCGAGTTCTAATTTGTGGGATGTGAAATCCATCAGCTCTGATGTGATTTTAGTTAAATACTACTTGAGGATGCTTTGTTGTAAAATAATAAGTCCAGTTGCCACAAGATACACCGTGTGAAAAGAAGGATTTAAACATGTTGTGTTTTCATAATGAAATGGCAAAATCTCAGTGATTTGACAATATCCTGTTTTGGTCTCCTCCCCTCCATTCCCTGGGTCTTAGCGTTGTTCTTCAGAAAAGCCAGACATTCAGAAGTTTATGGCATACTTCCTGAAGGTTAAATGGAATCCATTCATACAGTTCTTAAGACAGGGAGCTTTATTTCTTTTTTCAGATCATGTTCTTCAATTGCAGTTCAGTGCATTTGTTGTTAGTTTTTGTAACCTATTCAGAATTGAAAATACTTTGGCCAACTTACAGTCAGCTTTTGTTTTTGAATGAGGTGTACCTTACATCTGTTTGAGAAAATACCCTTTTGAGTTTGAAAATCTTCACTGGAAAAGTGTTTCTTTTATTTTTTTTCTTTTTTTTCTCTCCTGTAGTTCTCCTGCCTTTGATAGATCGTATGGGAGATGCCAAAGATCAAGTTCGAGAGCAAGCACAGAATCTCATATTGAAGCTGATGGATGAGGCAGCACCGCCCATGGTATGGTTTCACTTTATATAGATTCAAAAGTAGGTCTCTATTAAGCATATTACTTTAGCTTGACTTTGAATTTATCATAACGTTATAGTGACTGTTAATGAATGCATGCTAAAGATATTCTTAATGGTTTAACAGTGATGCTTTGTTTAGCTGAAGATAACCTAGCACAGCATAATTCTGCAGTTTTCGCATATTGTAACTAAATTCTGATTAGATGTTTTCATGTCATGTGGCAGGACTTTGTTAATTAAATGCTGGAAACAACTTCCCGTGTCTGAGTTTGTATGGTGGGAATAAGTAAGTTTATTTAGCTCAGAATTTAAAATTTACTTTGTGCCTGAAGAAGTAGGAGTAGTCTCACAGTTCAGATGGTGCATTCTGACGTAGAACATCTAGCTTTCTACATGTTTGACAGACATGTGAGCCTTTGACGAACTCAGATGGGGATGTTTCCTTCTGCCTCGTCGTATGTTGAAGTTTGAGTTCAGCAAACCTTTCTACAGCTGTTAGAGCTGTATGGCTTCCAAGTGCTAAGTCTGGTATATCTACTCAGTGAGTCTGGCAAATGTGAATGTTTTAACAGGACGTTACTGATGGAGGAGTGACATTATTTGGAACTCTGAGAACCCCTGTTGTCAGGAGAAAGTTCTTTGAGGCCTTCATTTCTTAAAAAGATCTGTTTCTGAGTTTAAATGGCAGAAGTTAATTGGGAATGTCTTATTTCTTGTGAACCAAAATGAAGTTTTTCTGCTTGCTAATTCTTGGCTTTGTTTATTCATAGATAGAAGTTTGAATGTTTGTACATAGGGATTATGATTTTTTTAGATCTGCAGTGAGAAGACTGTTCATGACTGCGTTGTTTGTGTGCTGGTACAAAAATATTGCAAGCAACTGCAGAAATTCAGATTTCAAGTAGGATTTAGGTATCAGAGCATCGCAGTGTCATCCATGAAGCCTAGCCTTTATCCACTCACTTGTTGTACTTGTGATCATATTCATTGCCAAGAGATGTTACAGCACTTGACGCTTAATTACTCATCGCTTGGTAGCTCACGAGTAACACGGTCCTGTGCCCAAGATGCTCTGAAGTGTCTCTCTCACACCCAACCCTACAGTAACAGCATTTGGATAGATGCATTGCGTCTTGCAGACACTTTCCCTTAAACAGTCACTAATAAAGAGAGTGGTTGTGCTGATTTTGTGTGGGCCCAGCTGAACAAGTTGTGGTTACTGGTGCATCTTTCCATCTCCAAAGGGAGCATTTGTTGTTAGGCTGTGCACTGAGACGGTAGAAGGAAGCTTCCCCTTTGAAGCTTACCCACAGTATAAGAAACAATACAAGATTTGTAGAGTGCAAGGAACAGAATGTGTAAGTGAGAGGAGGCATGGTTCAGGTGTCAGCTCCCAGGATAGCTTTTATGTATCATTAAATATTTGAAAAAAAAACGTCTATCATCATCATAGCAAGGACCAAAACAGAGGAGTCTTTCCTGTGCCTCCTACAGAGTTTTAGGCTTCCTTTGCTGCAGAGAAACATCCCTTTGGAGGAGCTGGGTGGAAACCTTTTTGGGGGATAAAATTTGTAAGTTTCTTCCTGATTGTCTCCTCTGGTTTGTTCTGGTGTGTTCTTGAATAGTACTAAATTTGTCCTGTTGTCAGTTCCTTTTTCTCATTTTTATTGTTTGGGTTTTTTGTGTTGTGTTGTTTTTTGTTTTGTTTTTAAGAGCTTGACATGGCTGTTTATGTGCAGGGTATCATCAAAATAAGAGTACAGACAGTATTAATGCATGAATAGGATAAAGAGAGGTCAGCACAAACGATTGCTAGCAGAGCTGAAATTTCTTAGAAGCCTTTGAATTTCTGATTAGATGGATTCAGTCCTCTCAGTAGGTTTAATAGCAAAAGATTGAATTTTTTTTCAGTCTGCCTTCTTTCTTTGTGCAATTTCTTCTCTGGCTGCTTCTGCACACCTAGTGGGGAGATTTCTTTTATTTCACATTGGTCCTGTACAGTGGGCTAATTGGAGGGATGTTTTCTTCAGTAAAATCCTGTTCTTTACCGTTAAGCTGTGCAGTCTTGGCAAGCTATATTCTGATTGTCTAAGGTTTTTGTTTTTTTTCCTCAAAATGTGATGAAGTATAAGGCACACAAACAAGAAACCACGAGACGGATCCAAGTGATCAAGTAGGCTCTAGCTAAAACATATGCTGTGAAGTGTGCTTCCTCATCAGTGCAAACGGTGCAGGATTCCCTGTTCTCTCACTGCCTGTTTTGGTGACCGATAGCTGTTTGTATTCCTTCTGCGAAGCCAAACACAGTCATTGGTATCTAGGAGATGTTATGCAGTCCCTGTACATCGCAGTTGCAGCCCTCCAGGGGCAGGAGGGAGGGTGGTGCCTGCACACGAGATGTGCTGCTGGCAGAGTGCGGCCATTGCTAGGCGACGCTGCCGCGGATGCTCGCGCCGTGCCGGCTGTAATGGCAGCACTGCAGCTGGGGGAGTTGCACTGTGGGGCTGTGCATCCGCTCTGAGGTACCACTGGGAATCCCACGTCTCGTAAGCTTTGCGTTTTCACTCTTTACACCCTGTGCAGCTGGAGATTGGCAGGGAGATGGAGAGGTAAAACGATGAGCTGGACAGTGAAAGGCAAAGGGAAGCAAATGGGCAGGAAGGTAACCGAGAGCTTAGCGAGCCAGAGAATTGTGCTATGGAAAGCAGCACCAGCACAAAAGAGAAGTGAAAGCAGAACAGAAATGGAAGCTAAGAAAGTAGAACGAATAGGCAAGAAATAACCAAAAAATTAAGAAGCAAATTTAAAGCAGAAGTAGGAGAGAAGTGGACAGCAGGAGTGTGGATAAGTGCAAGCTAAACTGGGTGAGAGGAAATGTTGGCCAGGAAACAATGTGAAGCAGAAGGGATATAGCAACTTCTGCTGGAGTCCCTAGTTGGAAATGTCAGTGTTCGTGTTTAGCAACTGTAACAATTCTGTATATTTTCTAAAGCTGTTTCTGGAGCAGTACAAATACATAGCTAGATTTCTGAAGAACATTTCTTGAAATTGTTTTTAGTTCACGAGTAATCTGTACTGTGTGTGTTACTGCGTATTTTATAACTTAATTTTATCTGCAAAGTCTCTTTACTTTTCCAATGGACCTGTCTTGCATTATTTCTGTGTTATGAATGTAGAAAACGGATAGAATTGCACTGTATTGTGCTCCTGGTAATCAAAGACAATTGTTTCTGTTTTATAGTACATTTGGGAACGCCTTGCTGCTGGTTTTAAGCACAAGAATTACCGATCCCGAGAAGGAGTGTGTTTGTGTCTTATTGCAACCTTAAACATGTAAGCTTTTTGTTTCTATGGAGACATAAGGATTCTATCCTTTTTCTTAATTGTCCTTTCTTCTCTGAAACTAATACTTCAGGAAGTCTGATTCAGTTAAAAGAATAAATGGGAAAAATCTGAACAACTTGACCAGTAAGCTTTCCAAAAGAAAGACTGAAGGTAAATTTTTTTTTTCCAGAACTAAATGTGGGACTAGTAAGAGAAAGATGGAACTTGATTGATGGTTGTATTTTATCAATGCTAAGCTAAAGATACACTTTCTGTTTTTCTGCCAGAAAAATAATTTTTCTTCTTTTTCTCCAGTTATGGTGCCCAACCATTAAGTCTCAGCAAGTTAGTACCACATCTGTGTGCAGCATTTGGTGACTCAAATAGTCAGGTAAGTGTTTCAATACTTCCTCGTGCTTCAACAGCCATATTTAGAGAGAAGGATGAAGGCAAAATGAATAAAGGCACTTAAGAAAAATTGTTAAGTTTGCTTTGTAGTAGGTCATTATTTTGTAGTTAATTTTTTAACTTGCAGTTAAAAACAAAACAAAGCAAACACCTTACATAGGTAAAACATCTGCAGTGAAAATTAAGTTGTAGTTCATAATGATGACATCTGTTGAACTTCAGAAAGCCTTCAAATGGAAATGGTTAAATTGTCTCAACTTTTCTAAAGCTGTGTCTTATGGGGAATACTAAGAATACAGTGAAAAAGAAGCCAGCATTGGCAGGAGATGGGCAAATAAAAACTTGTTTTTCTGCTTACCGTGTTGGTCTTTGTCTCCTATACATACCATAGCATTTCTCTATTCTGGAGAAAATCTGTGAAGAATTTGTCTTGTTTGTTGCCCATTAGTGAAGGGGTAGTTTATATCTTGCTAAAGCAGTTCTAGTTTTAGTGCAGACTGCTACAAAGGGCTCAGGTAATCCAGAAATTCTTTGTAGAGAATAATGACGTGTCATTGGCAGTTTTGGTTGTGATGATTATGCTTTACATTGCTGTAAAAGGCACTTCATCTCTTGCTGTAATCATTTTTTCCCTTTACCCTAGATATTTTTACTCCCATCCTTGTGCTTATGTGAAACCACGTAATTCCTTACAAAGAACTTCAGGAATCACTTTGGCCCACTCTTGTTGGCTGTCACATACCTAGTTTTCTAGAAGGTCCTTGCTGCATATAGGAAGTGGTCAAAGCAAGATGATGAGGTGTCAGGAGCGAGTTCAGGGACTGACTTTTGGAAGTGTTGCCTGGTGTGATAAGCTCCTAAAGACAGCACATGTTTCCACAGATAGTGTTCTTATGCCATTCCCAGAAATTCCCTCCACAGCTGTTATTTCTAGGATTTTTCATTTACCGTCTGGAGATGCTCTAACTTGGAACAAATTCCATCTTGAAATAACAGTTGTATTTCCTTTCCCTTCCATCCTCACTGTTTGAACTGTTCTGTGAAATGAGTTGGCGCACAGGTCTGGAAGATTAGTGGGTTGTCAGCAAAATGTTGTTTTGCTTTCTGAAATGCTGAAATGAAATAATAATTTAAACTTGGCTTTCACAGGTGAGAGATGCTGCCATACTAGCCATTGTGGAGGTTTATAGACATGTGGGGGAGAAAGTACGACTAGATCTTACAAAAAGGGGAATTCCTCCTGGAAGGTGAGCAAGTGGTTTTGATTTTGTGATGCTGACCCAGAATGTTGTGGTGTTTACTGCTTCTGACCTTCATTTTACAGTCTTTTCTGCTTGGAAGAGGTATATGAGTTTATAACCAAAAGCAGCCTAACATTCAGCAGTTAAAATTCCCTGATTTTAGGAGAAGGCAAGAGCTCTAGAATAGTTTAAAAAATATAAAATAATAGTAAATCAAAATTATGCATATATATATATATATATATGTAATGGGAGCAGTGAGAAATACAGTAAACAGTAGGGAAATAGCTGAAAAACACTTGAATACTTGAAAATATTCATAATGTTCCTTACTCTAGAGTTTGTGTTTAACATGAGCGTAGAGAGTCACAACTGAAGAACTTAATCCTTCCCATGCACTGTGCACGTGTGAGAGAGAAGTATGTGCACATCCGTGGAAGTGAGATGGAAGTATGGCACATCCTGCCCCAAGTCTTTACTTTCTTGAAGATAGTTATAATGGCAAATGTCCTCCCTTGCTTTTGCTAACTGCATCAGAAGAACCCTCTCTAAGAAAAAAAAAAGTCTTAAGCTGAAACTGAGGTAACACTGAGATACAAACTGAGATAACACTGCACTCTGAGTCCTAATGGTTTCTTTATTTTAAGAGAGCTGGTTGTGTCTGCTATGTGGGCTCAGTAAGGATATCAGAATGGATTCTGTGGCTCACGAGAGCACTGAAAATTGTTAGCCTTAGTTTTAATGGTTTATAAGGTACTGAAATACTGTCATAGGAGAATGGTGTTAAATTTTTTGTTTCACATGCTAGGCAGAGCTCAGCCTCTTTGGACCAAAACTTATCCTGCCTGTAGGAATGGGAAATTGTATGCGTTCTCATCTGTTTAATGATTGTTACAGTTCAGGGGTATGATGTGATTACATGGTTACCACAGAAGATGTGTTATTACTACAGTTCCAAAAATTCAGTTCCACAGCAGATAGTTTTATCTGAGAAAATCCTTCTTGCATTAAGCCAGAGTCTTGGATGTTCTTTGGAACAGAGAATGCAAGCAAAGAATGCAGATAACAGCAGCTTTTGTCTGTGCTATGAATGTTGGGTCTGACCATAAGTCTGGGTTCAGCACTCATCCTGTTCACATTTCCAAGTGATATAAACTAAGTCAATCTTGAGATCCAAATAGGATTAAACACCACAGGAGCTTTGTCTCTCCAGGCTAATCAACAGCTTCTAACTTAACTTGCAGTAGGGACCAAACTGCTGATTCCTACTGCCAGAATCACTTGAGCACCAAACTCCCCTTGATCTGAAAGCAAGCGTAATTGTGCCATTTTCATTTACATAAATAAGCAAAGCTGGACTTGGTGCATATCCAGCTGGTTCTTGCCACTGAATCTCAGCAGTTTCACACCTGACAGTCAAGGTTAGCATAAAATAATACATGAACCGAGGTTCAGTGTTGTGTCTTCCCAAGCAATCTTCAGGTTGGGAGGAGGTATGGGTTACAATTTGAGTATGAAGCTGATTATGAGTTGAGCATGAAGCTACTGGTCTCCATCCCTAGTATTGATGGGAAGCAGAATTCCTGCTGTCTCTTCCTACTTAACACAGAAACAAGGCGGTTGACAAAGCTCAGGAAAGACAGATTAGCTCTGTCTCAGACGGTTGCTCCTTCACTGGCAGACCCAGTTTAAGAGCTTTTTTTCCCACTGCCTGCCAGAAGTTCTCCCTTCGCTTTGATTCACTAAACTTTTCGTATGGACGTGCAGGAGCTATGGTCTGTGAAACAGCTTGATTTACGGTACCACCTTACCGTTGTTCTGAGGGAAATTTATGTTCATATTTGTGTGTCTGGGTAGGTTTTAAGGATTTTAAGTATTACGGATAATCTGTAGTTCAGACGCAGCTGCTTTCAGTTGTTCAGTTCAGCCTTAAAGAATGCTATTGCAGCTCTTTCACTGTATGACAGTGCATTACAATTGCAAGCATAAATATTAGCACCATTACTTCGATATTTGGTAAACGTGTGATTTCAGAGAATGTAGGCTTGCTTCGTTTGCATAACAAATTGCACATTAGAGGTCCGTGTGTTGCTGCCCCAGTGCACTGTGCCTTAAAGCTGAGAATAAGAGCTCATGTCAGCCGGAAGGAAGGCAGGAAAGTTCATCAAGCATTATTTAGAGAAATCACTCAAATTATTTAAATACAAAAGTAGTGTATACATTTTATGTCTCTATAAATATAAATGTACATCGTTATTCACAAACGGTAGCTTAAATAGGTTTTATAATCTGTAGATTTGCACTTGCAGAAAATAGTAGGCTGTCTAGAGAAGGATATTGGTCCTGAGCAGGGTCTAGATGGCTAATAAAAGATGTAGTTGTGCTATTGTAGTTCAACTCCACTTGCTAATAGTGTATTTTTTGTTCAGTCGCTGAAATGAATTTGCAAATAAAACCGTTGAATTCCTCTTTTTATGTACGTTCTTCAAGTTACAAATCTCAGAAGAATATCTTCATTTAGGCCTGAAGAGCATTTCTTTTCTCAGAAATCAGTATGGAGTCAGTGGCTGGAGATACGGCTGTTGTGTTTTCCCTTTAATTAAAGTTACTGCCAAAGAGGTTTGACAGTCTTTGTTATTGAGCCTGTAAGCATTAGTGTTAATATGTTTGTGGATACTGAGAGTGGATATTGCATTTCTTGCTCTTTGAGCCAAGAATATGGAACCATTTTTGTTCCATTTGGGCCAAATGGAGTTTGTTAGAGTATGAAACATGTAGCTGATCTTCCATGAATAGAAGAAATACATATGGATTTAGAAGTTAGCACTTGCTTGGTCTGAGCATTTACAGCCTTTCAAGATCTCTCAGGAAATCATCTGACAACTTTTTCCACCATTACTTGAGTAACATAAATGTAAAAAGTACATTTATTTGTTTAGAGTTCTCATGTCTAAGGCTGCAGCTTCATATCTGGAAATGCTACGTATGTTACAGGATGCATCTATGAGTACTGCACTTAATGTGGGCTGTGCATTCTGTCTGTCTGGTTCATACTGTAGACAGTGTCCATCTGTATGTCCACATGTGGGCACTTCTTTTTTTCCAAAGGAGGAAGTAAAGAGAAATGTATATCACCTTAAACTGTGCCTACACTGCAGGATACGTCTGTCTGAAGTCAGAAATACAGGCTTCTAAGCTTTTAGAGCTGGCAGTGCCGTGTTGCTCTCTAGCCTGTACCACTGTGACTGCATAGCACTGAGTGCTGACAGGTTATTAGTGAATGCTTATAGTTACGACTTTATCAGATATTCTGCCCAGAGTGAGAGGCAACGTGTGTATCATTGCCATGTATTTATAAGGAAATATTTCATTCTTCTGTACTTTCTTTGCTTAAAGTGCTCTGTGAAGCATGTTTTGATAACTAAGTTCAAAAGAGCAGGAAATAATTTTTTGTTTTGAATTCTCTGAAAAACGTGCATGTGTGCCAAAAGCACACCATCAGCCCAGCAGCATTTAAGAATCGGGGTGCAATTCTAAAGGAAATCTGTTACTCACTGTAGTCTTCATATTCAGCTGCTCTCAGGATAACAGCTTCAGCCTTTCGGACATGCTTTTAAGGGTGTTTGTTTATTTGAAGGAAGGTGGGCCTTCCTGTGGAATTCTCAGCTAGTTGTATGGTGTCTAGCAAGTGCTTCAAAGTATTTGGCAAAGAAAAATACCACTTCAAGGCTACTAAAGTGTTTGAAAGCGTGAGGTAGCATAACTGATCTATACCCACTGTGAGAATTGCCAAGTGTTGTGTGACTTCTGGTTGGTAAATGTGCATTTAAGGTCACTATTCAATCTTGATAGTTTTGTACCTAAAATATCCTTACAGCTATACATACCATACTGAGATGCTTCTACAGCTTTTATTGCATTTTCTGCAGAAGTGATGAGAACTGGCTGTTCAGATTTGGCCAAGTTTCTTGCTTGAATAGCATTTTCTACCTTGTGGGACCAGACTGGAAATGTGAATTTTTTTTGTACTTTTTTTTTTCTTCCTGTTTAACATGTAGCAAAGCAACTGCAGCATGTTTTCCATGTGAGAATCAGTGGTACAGAAGTGTTTCATGTTCCTGGAGTTTAGAAAAAAGAATTTCTTCTTTTCAGTGGAAGCACAAACCACTTGAAAATATCTTCATAACAAACCAGATTTTTCAGAAAATCAGCAATTGTCACAGAGCAAATGAAATATCAATCACTGCCTGTTTTTCTCACATCAGCATTCTGTAGTTCAAATTGTTGCCTTGTAGGGTTGTGTGTGAATAGGGTAATATCACTGCCTTTCTGAAGCAACTATATAATATTACTAAACCTCTACTTCAGAATTGTCATTATTTTTTGTGTTACTAATAGTGATGCTCGGTTTTATTTGCTGACTTGGTGACATTGCTTTATGTGCATTTGTGTGAAGATGCTCAACTGACTTAAGAAGGGGAGTCCCTTGGAAATTAGAACTCATAATCCCTTGTCTGACTGCTTTATATATACTAAGAAACTAATACATGTTTTTACTGGTAACCTGGAGGATTTCCAATATGTAAATATATGCTTTAATATATATGTATATTTATATATATTTTTGTTCTTTACAGGTTGCAAACAATCTTTGCAAAATTTGATGAAGTGAGAGATTCTGGAAATATGATTTTAAGTAACATCAGTGGTGAGTATGAAACATATGTTAATCGTCGGCCTTAGATTAATATTTGAATGCTAGTATGAACAGTGTGAGATGGTTGACAAGAAACATCTGGAAGTATACTGAGAGAAACAGACATTTGCATAGTGAAACAGACTTACGTTACTGATACTGGTTTTTAGGACTGCAGTCGGAATACAGCTGGAAGAGGTTTTGAAATCACATGGAAACTGGCAGTGAATCTTCAACAAGTTCTGTGTGCATGCAGTAGAGGCTGCGAGAACGCTGCAGAGTATTTGTGCGTGGAAAAAAAGAAATCAAACGGGCTTTTATCTTAACAGCGATTCCAAAAGAAAATAAGTGAATAATGGCTGTTTTATGTGGTTTCTTCTCAGTTAAAATGTTGAATGATAGAGTAAGTTCTAAATTAAAGAAATAGACAACAGAGACACTTCAGTGTTGAAGTTGTGACTTCAAATTCTCCTTTAATGTACTGACTTTTTCTGGTGTCTTTCATGAAAACGAAGCCTGTTATGCAATGAATCCCTGTTGCTTCCTGCTGCAGTCCTGAAACAGTATCTTACGGGATGAAAGAGCAAAGCCATCATTCTTTCTTACTTAAAACTATACTTTAAAAAAGAAAAACAAACAGCAGTTGCATAACAGCACAACAAGGGAGGTGTTGTGGCAGTGGCTTTAATTTGATTGGTTTTGAAAGCTTCATTGTCTGTCTGTTTTCTGCAAACAGTCGGCAGATTTTGGTTTATAGTGGAGGATATTCAGATACTTTTGGTGAAATTATACTGAAAAGGAAGCTTTGCTAGACGAAAATGTAACAGTTTGAAGAAATAATTTGAGGAATGCATATGTGATTTGATAATGTATGCAAATGTACTTTTTCATTTTAAACAGTCTCACCTCTCTGTCGTTACTGTGAAAACAGAGGTTGTGGGTTTGCAGAAGTGCATTTTTAAACCTTTTTGAGATGACAGTGAAGTTCTACATTGCATTCTGGTTTGAAGTAAAACAGCGCTATTCTTGGGCACTTGGAAATAAGAAAATAAGGATTAATATAAAAATGAACACTAAATATGTTCGTTGTTGAGAAGAATGTTTTACATTGTAGATCTACTTTGATTGTAGATCGACTCCTATTGGAAGGACAAAGCATTATTTTTTTGCATTTAAAGTTCATACAACTGCATGGGTTTGAGTGGTTCAAAGGTACATTTTAGTTGAATTTTTTCTGTTGGCAGTTCTCGAGAGATACGAGGAAGTTACTGGAGAATATAAACACATTGAAGTAATTTAAATTGTGGGAATAAAGAAACAACACATTTATTGCTGAACTAGTTTACATTGCGTGTAGGAGCTTTTGGTTGGTATCTTACAAGAGCAGATGCAATTCGTTTGAAGCCATTTTACCTCATCTGTACAATGCAGGTGTTAGTGCTGATCTGCAGTGGTACAAATCCTTTTGGGCTTGTAGGTGGCAGATTCTGTGCAGAAGCTGCCATGAGTCTGTTTCTTTAGTCCCAGAGACAGAATCCCTCTTGTACCTTTGTTTCAGAATCTCTGTTTATCTGTTGAATCGATCTAAGCGGATATTTTTTTAACGCTATGGAAAACATACTCTTCTATTGTTAGTGGTTTATCTCGACCTTCTCTTTCTTTGTTCTCTAAAGGACAGAGAGATATTTATATTTACTGCTTCCATGTGTAGATCTAAAGTTAGTGTTGAATTCCTGTGGCTTTGTTACCAACTTTTCAGAGCTTTATCAAACATCTCTGGATAAAGGCCAGATGTAAATACGTGCGTTACAGTACAGAGGATATTTTAGTGCTTTTAAAGGCTGATGTTTTGGAATAGGGTTCAAAGATTGTGGGGAGTAGGGTTGTGTTTCCAAAGAGTGAGGAGTCAAGGGCCAAAAACTGTTCCACAGACTTTGGTGTAATTAGAATGGTACAGTCCATAGTGGACCCTTTTTTTATATCTTTTAACCTCCCAAAGGAATGGCTTTTTGCTGTCTTAGCTGAGTTGTTTTCTCAAAGAAGTCAGCTGTAAGTGATGGGAGTTCTCTTCAAAGTGTGTGCTGGATAGAGAAACGCTTGCTGAAAACAACTGTCAGAGGTGCAGTCTTTAGCGGAGTTGTAAGGCACCGCTGTGCTGGTAAATCTTTGTCGTGTTGACCTACTTTCTGAGAATCCAGAGATGTCACTTAGGTTCCTTTCTTCCAACAATACTTCTGACAGTTGTTCAGTCACTTCATTTTGCATATGCAAAAAGAGAACCATAACCTGAAAAAAATAGAAGCTTGAAGCAAGCTGAATAGAAGAATGTTTTCCATAGTATTTTTAATAATTCAGACGAACAAACAAAAAAGAAAAATATGCTCCTACTAACACAGTTAAACATGTGTCAGGTTTTAGAAACGTATTGCTGTTCTTCAGCATGTGTGGGAGAAACAGGGGAGGAGAGGAAAAGGTTCTCCTGTGTTCTCATGCACACTGGTGGATTTCATGTGTTGTTATCCCTTTGCCTGTGATAATGGACCTAGCATGAGCAGTCCTCCTTCATTGAATGTAACCCCTGATAGAACAGCAGAGAGAGCAGGGAATGCGGTCTGTAGGGACTGATGAATTCTAGCGGAGGGCGAAAGATGTGAAAAGCACACTGAAATGAGTGCTGCTATAATAACTGGGGCATGATGTAGCTTCAAAAGCCAGCAGCTGAGAAGCGTGGAAGGCCCTGTGTTTAATGATGGGACTGGGCTCGAGTCTTATGCTGCTGCTTGATGAGTCATTACAAGCTTAAATAATATCATACCAATAATTTACCTCTCCAGCTGACCTTTGATTCCCTCTCCCCCCTGTCTCGATTGCAGCATCTCCCCTCCAATAAGCTGTGGTTAGTAAATTCAAACATCTTTTCTTTGCCACGAATTACGTGAATGAATGAGCTGTTCTGAGAACCTTGGGTTCTGTTTACATTCACAGTAATGCAGCATGTTATTAGAATTGTATCTGGATGTGTTTGTTAGGCCAAATCTTGTGTGTGGTGCGGTGCTTGTTTTGCCATTTTGCTTCAGCAGAAATGTGTTGCATCCCTGCAAACTGGAGGAGGATCTTTAAAGCACCTCCCCATTTTTCAGCACATGAATGTGCATTTCTATGGAAACGGGACTGGCAGCCAATCTCAAAGCTGAGCAAGCACTTGTTTCTGCCGGCTGAGATTTGTAAATAGTGTTTTCCCTCAGAGAATTTCAACAGACCTCCGTGCTGGAGAGCAGCGTACATTTTCAGACAGGGAGTCAAAAGTAGGGAGAACAATAACTGAGCTCTGTGTTTCGCTTCATTCAGTAGAATGATCCAAGCTGAATATTGATTGTACCCCTCTGTTCAGCCCATGCAGTTTTCCCATTAAAGGCATGCCTCGCAGCACTACCTTACAAACACAGCATGCGATCGGTGGGATGCACTCGTTTCAGTGTCACACACATTTTAGTGTCACGCTCCTGGGGGGGGTGGAACGGATTACAAAGACTCAGCCAAGCCGTATGTTCTCCTATAGCAAACAGTAAACACCTGCAGAAGGCAGAAACGGGTATTTGCTTTGCCACGTTATGCTTTTTTCTTTCTTTCCAGTTTTCCTTTGTTGGTTTCTTTTTGCGAAGAGGGTTTCTGTGAGATCACACAGCGACAGCCTGTGCCAACGGGACGTGGTGTGAATGTATAGCGTGGGAAACGCTGAGGCTGCCGATAGGTGCTACAATCATTTTACACTGTTCGGGGTCCGTCTGCGTGCTGCTCGCTCATCCAGCAGCTCAGAACGCATTCGTATGACTATCAGTTTCACCCGCTGCCCTTTGTGGTTTATACCCGGACGTATGGAAGCGTGCCGAGCAGGCCCTCGCCCGCACCGTGCCTCGAGGTGCCCCGTGCGCGTCTCTGGGCACCGGAGCTCAGCGCCAGCGCTGCGGGAAGCGAGCTGCTCAGCGCGGCACGGAACGGAACGGCTCAGCGCGGCGCCGCCGGTTCTCAGACGAGAGGGAACGGGGCGGGAGGCAGCGCTTATTACTTATTACAGCACACGGTGCCGTCGCGGCGGTTTCGGGCCGACCGCGAGCGGGAGCTGAGGTTCCGTCAGGCTTTCCTGACGGCAGCAGGACGCTCTGCGGCAGCCGGTGCCCGGACACCGTCAGGAGAAGGCGTTTCGCTCCGACCCACCGGCACTGAACGCCTCGCGTCCGCCGCCCCGCTCGCGATTCCGGCGCTCCTTCCAGCCCGGCCAGGGCAGGGCGCGGGCACGTGACGGTGGGGCGGAGCGGGGCGGAGCGCGGTAAAAGTCCCCGGTGGGACGGGGCCGGGACCTGGCGCCGGCGGGACTGCTATTTTGAAGCGGGGCGCGGCGGGCGGCTGTGGCGGCGGGGAGCGGGGGCCGGTCGGCCCGGCACTCGCCGCCCGCGGCCGCTCCGCGCTATGATGGCGATCGGGGACGGTGAGTGGCCGACCCGGGGGCGGGCGCGGGGTCCCGCGGCGAGGGGCGGACGAGCTTCGGCGCCGCTCCCCTTCCTGCGCCCCATTGAGCGCGCTGAGCCCCGCGTGCGGCGGCTCGACGTCTCGGCCCGGTGCGGGGGTCCCGCTGCGGGCGGCTCGGGGCGCGCGGCGAGAGGTCCGCCCCGGGAGCGGGAGGCGTCCGGCCGCGCTACTCGGCGGGGAGAGGCGGCGCTGCGGGCGCCGACAGGGAAGCGGCTCGCTGCCGTACGGCTCGGGTGACGCTACGGCTTGCGGAGCCGCGTTTCCTTCCTTACACAAACCGGGGAAAGTAGGTCAGTAAAGCGGTGCGGGCCGCGCGGTCACGTTTTGGATAAAAACCGGATTCGTGTTCTGCCTCCGTGCCCAACCCTCTCCCGGTGTGACAGCTTCCCCTACGTGCGTCTTCGTTTTCAGAGGAAGTTGAGAAGTTGTCATTTGGCTTAAAGCAAGATGAGGAAGATAGGAGGAGGGCTTTGCGCTTGCAAAGT